GTATACCTTTTCTAGGTACGTTAGCCTGTGACCACGGAAATTGGCCGAGTCAAGTGATGGATTAGTACGGAGAGATTGAGACAGAAGGAGGTACTGGATAGAGAGACCGGGATGGTTTTTAATGTGAAGACAACAACAACAACAACTGGTGTGGTACATTGTGTACGTTTCCTGAGGGGTTGTGGTATTTAATGAAAGTGTGATATCTTATGCAACCTACGGTACCCTGATGTGACTGACTCGATTGCGGGTCTTCCAGGGGCTTTTGGAGGCCACCACTTCGAACAGACCTTCGAAAAATCGACTACATTGCACCAGTACTGTAGTGCACCTGCGCACATACAACAAGCAGATAGATGCACCAAGCAAGGGAACAGCAAACAGCAACAGCAGCCAACAGCAGTAGAGCAGCCTCGGGCACACAGCCTCGTTCGTACAGCCGTAGCAGGGGTGACTCAAATCGAAAGCACCCCCGCTATGGGAGGCGCACGCATCCCGGACCCAACGGACTGCTGCTTTACCCTTGCCGACAACACGCTGGTAGACGGGCTCGGTGCGTGCGTAGGTGCCATTGCACGCAGCCTCCACGCTAGCAGCGACTACAGCAGAAGCCATCGTGGACAGACAGAAAACTGCAAGCAGTAGCGTGAAAAATTGGGTCCTCATCTCGCCTGTTGCCCAACTTTTGATGTTTGCGCGCGCGAGGCAAGTCTGCCCTCTGTAGCGGGGCTGTTGCAGCTGTGCAACTCCCGTGTGTGATTTTTTTGCGGAGGGACTCTGCCGCATGTGTCCCCGCATCGTGCGGGGTCGTGCGCATGTGATCTTTTCGCGCTGTCTAGCCCTTGGTCGCCAGCGCCCAGAACACCGAAATATGTATCGCTAGGAAGAGTAACCTCACTGCTACTCTCACCACAGAGGGGGGTTAGTCACAAAAGGGTTAAGGTTACAACAACATACCGACACCCAAAAACCCGAAAAAATCCTCTACATACAACATTACCAGCATTACCACATGCTGTTCGTGTGTTAGGCCATTTCTTACGAAGTCTTTTTTATTAGATCTTTTTCTTTTTT